AATTGTGCTTTGCGACAATATCCCAATTTCGCTTTTTTTAAATTTTATAAGAAAATATAAATTTGACAATTCATATTAGGGAAAGCTTAGACCGGAATTTTTTGTATATTCCCATTTGTGAATATGATGCGAATTAATTTTAATGCGAGCCTTTTTGTGCCCTTGAATGTGTGATCCCTGCGTTGGTAGGTCATTTGATGCATAACCACCGGTTTGCTTCAAAGGGGTGGGAGAAATAGTGATGACGCGTAAAAAAGCTGGCATTCTTGAGGGCTGGTGAATAAACTCCGGGTTGATTTACAGTTTAAAATATTTTCTTTTTATAAACTTTAGGAGGATCATAAATTAATTGTCTGAAATTTACTTGAAACTGCGATTAGCTATGTTTTTTTATATATCACGCCACTTACTCCTTTTTTTTAATTAAAAAAGTTTTATGAGACCACAAGAATTCTCTCTCATTAAGTAAGGCTTGATTATATACCAAAAATGAACCGAAACATAATAATATATGTTATAATATTATAATAATAACATAATAATATATGTTATAATAATATAATAATAACATAATAATGTTATAATAATATAATAATAAGATAATAGTATATGTTATAATACTATAATAATAACATAATAATATATGCTATAATACTATAATAATAACATAATAATACATATATAATACTATACTAATAATATAATGATATGTGTTATAATACTATAATAATAATATAATAATATATGCTATAATACTATAATAATAACATTATATATATATATATATATATATATATATATATACTATAATAATAACGTAATGATATATATTATAATACTACAATAATAACATAATAATATCTTACTTATTATAAAACGCAGATTGTGTGTGTGTGTGTGTGTGTGTGTGTGGGTCTGTAACGTTTATATATTGGATCGGATTTCCTACATTTTTTAGCCGATTTCAACAAAACTTAACAGGACTACATAAAATTACCTTGTAGTGGTTCTAACGGCACCGAAAATGGGAAAAACACAATTGTTTTTTAACAAAATTAATTTGAAAACACGATTAAGACACATCGTGAGAATGAAAGAGGGACAACTCACATCGGGTTAAAAAAACCCAGGTTGTGTGTGTGTGTGTGTGTGTGTGTGTTCCTTTATATATGGGATCGGATTTCTTACATTTTTCAGCCGATAAAACAACCATCACTTTTTTTTTGGCAGGTAGTGTTTCTTATTATCTTGAACACTTTTTTCTTTATTTATACATTCAGAATGCTTTAAAAATTCCATTTACAAGACAATTGTTTATAATAAAATTCTAATTCTATTCAATCGGAGGACTCATCATAACGATTGAAAACAATGTTTTTGTTTGAGTTTGGGTTTGACCAATTCGTAAAAAAAAAAAAAAAAACTAAGACATGCATGTCCGTCAACCTAAACAATAATCTAATGATCTCTACTGATTGTACGAATCGAAAAATCGGATAATTCTTTATCTTTAGGGAAAGATAATTCCACGTACTTTAGGGCCGTTTTTACAATTCCCTTTGCAATTCGTTACAAGGGAGATCAATAAGGCATTGGTTCTATTTGAAATTAATTCAATATTTAAAAGAAAGTATTAAGAAATAATTTAAAAATGCCGACGTAAGAAATCTGATAGACAAAAAACAACAATATTTCGAAGATGATAATTATTAGGGAAAGAATACAGTACTTGTAATAAATTAATAAACCCAAATAAAATTAATATTTTTTGTATTAGAAACAACGAGTGGAAAAGATATTAAAATCTGAATTCTAATTATGAATCACCACAAGCAAAATATGCAATTTTTTTTACTGTATTCAATAAGTAAAAATCATAAATTGTAAAAGATTACAGAGAAAGGCTACCTACATTTTTCAACCGATTTCAACAAAACTTCACTTTTTTTGGCAGGTAGTGTTTCTTATTGCCTTGCACATTTTTTTCTTTATTTTTACATTCAGAATGCTTAAAAAATTCCATTTACAAGACAATTGTTTATAATAAAATTCTATTCATCAATCGATAGACTCATAACGATTGTAAACAATGTTTTTGTTTGAGTTTGGGTTTGACCAATTTGTAAAAAAAAAAAAAAAAAAAAACTAATTAAGACATGCGTGTCCGTCAACCTTAAACAATATCTGTGTCAATTTTATTTTTCAGTCTTTATGATGGTCGATACTTGATCTATCTCTTACTGTTACATCCCCGGGCAACGCCGGGCTCTACTGCTAGTATGTTATAAATGTAGATTTTGTTTCTTGAGACACATTAAAATTATCATTATCAGCACATCTACAGCTAGACAATTAAACGCTTACAAATTCTGACTCGGTATCGTTTTTGAATAAGACTATCGGTTACGGTGACTAGCGAATCCCTGTTGCAGACACCTGCCCAGACACATTTGTGTTTCTTCAAACCCACAGAGATAATCTATGTTTTATGCTGCAACTATGCTCATCTGACCTTACAATGTGATCAACAGTTTGAACATTACTCAAACTTGGCCACTTATCAGTCACTTATCGCCAACATTCTAAAATTTACGGGAGTGTGTTTATTCATTGAAGCTGAACTTTGTACGTCATCAGTTTTGAAATGTTTGTTACTCAACAGTTTGTAGCGATTCTCTGTATAATTTTTTAAGCATTTCACCCAAAGCGAGACAGGAGTGTCACTAGCATGCAGGGGGTCTACAGAGTGTCACCGTCAGTGAAAAGACTGTGTATAGAGGGGGGGGATTGAAGAGAAGATAAAAGAAGAACGGGGATCACGGCAACAGAAGATGGCGATTGACTTTGCATTTAAATTTTTGTAGATTGTAGTTATCAGGGAAGCAAGTAAGAGGAAGGGAGGTCCACTGTCGGGAAGTGCGAGAAAAGAAACTGGAGTTGAAGTGGCGGTTGCATTTAACTATTTCAACAGTAAAAGGGTGGGAGCTAGGTGTCAGTCTAGTAGCACCCTTAAATTCGTGTAGTTCGTGGCATTAGGGAAGACAGCTTATCAGAACAGTTGCTATGAAAAGACAGAGGGAAACCCAGATCGCGTATATGAGAAAATGACTGAAGTCGAGATGCCAGGTCAGGACCGATTGCATTGCTGATTCTTATTTGTAGCCAGACGTATTAACAATTTCTCAAATCCTTAGGAACATAAAAGTGAGACACCGAATGTCAGCGCCATGGACGTTTTACTGATATCTAATTGTAACATTTCCTTTGTTTTATTGGCAAACCTGATGCCTCAAATCTTTTTGTCTTTTTCAGTACAATAAGTGCCCGGGTTACGACAGTCCTGACCTAATCTCCATTAATCTTGGTTTTGACGTATACCGTTTTTCTCGCATATATATATTTAAGCATTTCACCCCAAGCAAGGCGGGGGTGCCACTAGAACGCAAAGGGTTACAGAGAATGAATGTAAGAGTAAAGAGGGGTGTTTGAAGAAAAGATAAAGAGAAGGACGGATATCAAGATCAAAGCATGAGAAGATGTCGATTGACATTACATTTAAATTTTTGATGATTATAGTTATCAGGGAAGAAAATAAACGGAAGGAAGTTCCACTGTCGGGAAGTGCAAGAGAAGAAACTGTTGGAGTAGAAGAGGCGGCTACATTTAACTGTTTCAACAGTAAAAGGAGTGGACCTAATTGCCAACCAAGTAGAACGCTTAAATTCATGTAGTCGAGGCATCAGTGATCATGGAACGGCAAATCCCAGTTGTAAATGTAGAGGGCTGGTGAAACTAAGGAATGTAGTCCGCCAGAACATTTGCCATGGAAATAGCGATAGGGTGGAAAATAATTAATCGCCCACAAGGCCACGTAGATGCTGTTGAACTCAATAAAGACAGACAAAAAAATGTAGCTCCAGCCCACATATTTTGCAATTTCGTTTCTGTGGGCGATATGATGTCAACTTCTGTTTGTGAAAACGAATAACTAAGGAATGTAGTCCGCCAAACATTTGCCAAAATAGCCCCAAAATAATTAATCGCCCACAAGGCCACGTAGATGCTGTTGAACTCAATAAAGACAGACAAGTAAGGCGTGTGTAGCTCCAGCCCACATATAGCAGCAATACTTCGTTTCTGTGGGCGATATGATGTCAACTTCTGTTTGTGAAAACGAATAACTAAGGAATGTAGTCCGCCAGAACATTTGCCATGGAAATAGCGATAGGGTGGAAAATAATTAATCGCATACAAGGCCACGTAGATGCTGTTGAACTCTATAAAGACAGACAAATTAGGCGTGTGCAGCTCCAACATATAAGCAATACTTCGTTTCACTGGGCGATATGATTCTTCTGTTTCAAAACCAATAACCTTCAATAGTTCCGATTCAAATATCCTGGGTTTGATGACTCCAGCTACAACATTTTCTGTGATCTTCTCTCTTCTAACTGATTCAAAGCCATTAAGTCGAAATGTTAGGATCATATAGAAAACTACTTCTTAACCATACATAGATGTATTTGGGGCGCCGGAGCTTATTCCACAGCAACTAGATGGTCCCATCTGGGATTGATGGGAGACAATGCCACTTGAAGTGTGTTCCTTATGTCTATTCTTTTTTGCAGTTTTCCTTTAGCTATTGTCACTGCAGAAAACCCCGCTCCACAAAGATATGATGTTGGAAATTCAAGTCCTTTATTAAAATTATCAATTAATTATTCTTTGTGGCCTGATAGCAAATGATCCACAGACCGGTCCGCGGCCAGGTGACAGGGGGGGGGTGGTCTCTGCATTAAGACACAAGGGTTACTGAGAAAAAAAGAAAGAAAGAAGGAAAATGTTATTAAGGAGAAAGGACAATAAAAGAACGGAATTCAAGGAGCCAGGAGATGACACGGGATTTAAATCTTCAAACACCATAGTAGACGGGAAAGTAAGAAGCTGGAAGAGAGTTCCTCCAGGCAAGAAGTTTGAAGAGAGTTTCTCCAGGCAAGGAGCTAGAAGAGAGTTCCTCCAGACAAGAAACTGGAAAAGAGTTCCTCCGGAGAAGAAGCTGAAAGAGAGTTCCTCCAGACAAGAAGCTGGAAGAGAGTTCCTCCAGACAAGAAGCTGGAAGAGAGGCAGTTTCTCCAGGCAAGAAGCTGAAAGAGAGTTTCCCAGGCAAGAAGCTGGAAGAGAGTTCCTCCAGACAAGAAGCTGGAAGAGAGTTTCTTTTTCAAGAAGCTGAAAGAGAGTTTCCAGGCAAGAAGCTGGAAGAGAGTTCCTCCAGACAAGAAGCTGGAAGAGAGTTTCTCCAGGCAAGAAGCTGGAAGAGAGTTTCTCCAGGCAAGAAGCTGGAAGAGAGTTCCTCCAGACAAGAAGCTGGAAGAGAGTTTCTCCAGACAAGAATCTGAAAGAGAGATTCTCCAGGCAAGGAGCTAGAAGAGAGTTCCTCCAGACAAGAAACTGGAAGAGAGTTCCACCAGACAAGAAGCTGGAAGAGAGTTTCTCCAGGCAAGAAGCTGGAAGAGAGTTTCTCCAGGCAAGAAGCTGAAAGAGAGTTTCTCCAGGCAAGAAACTGGAAGAGAGTTCCTCCAGACAAGAAGCTGGAAGAGAGTTTCACCAGGCAAGAAGCTGAAAGAGAGTTTCTCCAGGCAAGGAGCTAGAAGAGAGTTCCTTGAGACAAGAAACTGGAAGAGAGTTTCTCCAGGCAAGAAGCTGGAAGAGAGTTTCTCCAGGCAAGAAGCTGGAAGAGAGTTCCTCCAGACAAAGAAGCTGAAAGAGAGTTTCTCCAGGCAAGAAGCTGGAAGAGAGTTCCTCCAGGCAAGAAGCTGAAAGAGAGTTTCTCCATGCAAGAAGCTGGAAGAGAGTTTCTCCAGGCAAGAAGCTGGAAGAGAGTTTCTCCAGGCAAGAAACTGGAAGAGAGTTCCTCCAGACAAGAAACTGGAAGAGAGTTTCTCCAGGCAAGAAGATGAAAGAGAGTTTCTCCAGGCAAGGAGCTAGAAGAGAGTTCCTCCAGACAAGAAGCTGGAAGAGAGTTCCTCCAGACAAGAAGCTGGAAGAGAGTTTCTCCAGGCAAGAAGCTGGAAGAGAGTTTCTCCAGACAAGAAACTGGAAGAGAGTTCCTCCAGACATAAACTGGAAGAGAGTTTCTCCAGGCAAGAAACTGGAAGAGAGTTCCTCCAGACAAGAAGCTGGAAGAGAGTTTCTCCAGGCAAGAAGCTGAAAGAGAGTTTCTCCAGGCAAGAAGCTGGAAGAGAGTTTCTCCAGACAAGAAGCTGGAAGAGAGTTCCTCCAGACAAGAAACTGGAAGAGAGTTCCTCCAGACATAAGCTGGAAGAGAGTTTCTCAGGCAAGAAGATGGAAGAGAGTTTCTCCAGGCAAGAAGCTGGAAGAGAAGAGTTCCTCCAGACAAGAAGCTGGAAGAGAGTTTCTCCAGGCAAGAAGCTGAAAGAGAGTTTCTCCAGGCAAGAAGCTGGAAGAGAGTTTCTCCAGACAAGAAGCTGGAAGAGAGTTTCTCCAGGCAAGAAACTGGAAGAGAGTTTCTCCAGGCAAAAAACTGGAAGAGAGTTCCTCCAGACATAAGCTGGAAGAGAGTTTCTCCAGGCAAGAAGCTGGAAGAGAGTTCCTCCAGACATAAGCTGAAAGAGAGTTTCTCCAGACAAGGAGCTAGAAGAGAGTCCCTTCCGACAAGAAACTGGAAGAGAGTTTCTCCAGGCAAGAAGCTGGAAGAGAGTTTCTCCAGGCAAGAAACTGGAAGAGAGTTCCTCCAGACAAGAAGCTGGAAGAGAGTTTCTCCAGGCAAGAAGCTGGAAGAGAGTTTCTCCAGGCAAGAAACTGGAAGAGAGTTTCTCCAGGCAAGAAGCTGAAAGAGAGTTTCTCCAGGCAAGGAGCTAGAAAAGAGTTCCTCCAGACAAGAAACTGGAAGAGTGTTCCTCCAGACAAGAAGCTGGAAGAGAGTTTCTCCAGGCAAGAAGCTGGAAGAGAGTTTCTCCAGGCAAGAAACTGGAAGAGAGTTCCTCCAGACAAGAAGCTGGAAGAGTGTTTCTCCAGGCAAGAAGCTGAAAGAGAGTTTCTCCAGGCAAGAAACTTGAAGAGAGTTTCTCCAAGCAAGAAACTTGAAGAGAGTTCCTCCAGACAAGAAGCTGAAAGAGAGTTTCTCCAGGCAAGAAACTTGAAGAGAGTTTCTTCAAGCAAGAAACTTGAAGAAAGATTCTCCAGGCAAGAAGCTGAAAGAGAGTTTCTCCAGGCAAGAAACTGAAAGAGAGTATCTCCAGGCAAGAAGCTGGAAGAGAGTTTCTCCAGGCAAGAAGCTGGAAGACAGTTCCTCCAGACAAGAAGCTGGAAGAGAGTTTCTCCAGGCAAGAAGCTGAAAGAGAGTTTCTCCAGGCAAGAAGCTGAAAGAGAGTTTCTCCAGGCAAGAAACTGGAAGAGAGTTCCTCCAGACCAGAAGCTGGAAGAGAGTTTCTCCAGGCAAGAAGCTGGAAGAGAGTTTATCCAGGCAAGAAACTGGAAGAGAGTTCCTCCAAGACAAGAAGCTGGCAAGAGAGCTTTCCAGGCAAGAAGCTGAAAGAGAGTTTCTCCAGACAAGAAACTGGAAGAGCGTTTCTCCAGGCAAGAAGCTGAAAGAGAGTTTCTCCAGGCAAGAAAATGGAAGAGAGTTTCTCCCGGCAAGAAACTGAAAGAGAGTTTCTCCAGGCAAGAAGCTGGAAGAGAGTTTCTCCTGGCAAGAACCTGGAAGACAATTCCTCCAGACAAGAAGCTGGAAGAGAGTTTCTCCAGGCAAGAACCTGAAAGAGAGTTTTTTTATCCAGGCAAGAAGCTGAAAGAGAGTTTCTCCAGGCAAGGAGCTAGAAGAGAGTTCCTCCAGACAAGAAACTGGAAGAGAGTTTCTCCAGGCAAGAAGCTGAAAGAGAGTTTCTCCAGGCAAGAAACTGGAAGAGAGTTTCTGGAAAGAAACCGGTTTCTCCAGGCAAGAAATGTGGAAGAGAGTTCCTCCAGACAAAACTGAAGCTGGAAGAATAAGTTCCTCCAGGCAAGAAACTGGAAGAAATTTCTCCAGGCAAGAAACTGGAAGAGTGTTCCTCCAGACCAGAAGCTGGAAGAGAGTTTCTCCAGGCAAGAAGCTGAAAAGAGAGTTTCTCCAGGCAAGAAACTGAAAGAGAGTTTCTCCAGGCAAGAAAGAGTTTGGAAAGAGATTTTCCTCCTGGCAAGAAGCTGGAAGACAGTTCCTCCAGACAAGAAGCTGGAAGAGAGTTTCTCCAGGCAAGAAGCTGAAAGAAGAAGAGAGTTCTCCAGGCAAGAAGCTGGCAAAAACTGAAGAGTTTCTCCAGGCAAGGAGTTAGGAAGAGAGTTCCTCCAGACAAGAAACTGGAAAAGAGTTTCTCCAGACAAGAAGCTGGAAGAGAGTTTCTCCAAGCAAGAAGCTGGAAGAGAGTTTCTCCAGGCAAGAAACTGGAAGAGAGTTCCTCCAGACAAGAAGCTGGAAGAGAGTTTCTCCAGGCAAGAAGCTGGAAGAGAGTTTCTCCAGGCAAGAAGCTGAAAGAGATTTCTCCAGGGAAGCAAGAAGCTGGAAGAGAGAGTTTCTCCAGGCAAGAAACTGAAACCGAAGAGTTTCTCCAGGCAAGAAGCTGGAAGAGAGAAAGACTCCAGGCAAGAAGCTGAAAGACAATTCCTCCAGAGTTCCTCAGACAAGAATCTGGAAGAGAGTTTCTCCAGGCAAGAAGCTGAAGAGAGAGTTTCTCCAGGCAAGAAGCTGAAAGAGAGGCAAGAACCTTTCTCCAGGCAAGGAGTTAGAAGAACCAGTTCCTCCAGACAAGAAACTGGAAGAGAGTTTCTCCAGACAAGAAGAGAGCTTGGAAGAGAGTTTCTCCAAGCAAGAAGCTGGAAGAGAGTTTCTCCAGGCAAGAAACTGGAAGAGAGTTCCTCCAGACAAGAAGCTGGAAGAGAAAAAAAGGCAAGAAGCTGGAAGAGAGTTTCTCTAGGCAAGAAACTGAAAGAGAATTTCTCCAGACAAGAAGCAAGAAGCTGGAAGACAGTTCCTCCAGACAAGAAACTGGAAAGAGAATTTCTCCAGGCCAGGCAAGAAGCTGAAAGAGAGTTTCTCCAGGCAAGAAGCTGGAAGAGAGTTTCTCCAGGCAAGGAGCAAGAAAGCTAGAAGAGAGTTTCTCCAGACAAGAAACTGGAAGAGAGTTTCTCCAAGCAAGAAGCTGGAAGAGAGTTTCTCCAGGCAAGAAACTGGAAGAGACTTCCTCCAGACAAGAAGCTGGAAGAGAGTTTCTCCAGGCAAGAAGCTGAAAGAGAGTTTCTCCAGGCAAGGAACTAGAAGAGATTTCCTCCAGACAAAGAAACTGGAAGAGAGTTCCTCCAGACAAGAAGCTGGAAGAGAGTTTCTCCCAGGCAAGAAGCTGAAGAGTGTTTCTCCAGGCAAGAAGTTGAAAGAGAGTTTCTCCAGGCAAGGAGCTAGAAGAGAGTCCCTCCTGACAAGAAACTGGAAGAGAGTTTCTCCAGGCAAGAACCTGGAAGAGAGTTTCTCCAAGCAAGAAACTGGAAGAGAGTTCCTCCAGACAAAGAAGCTGGAAGAGAGTTTCTCCAGGCAAGAAACTGGAATTTCCTCCAGACAAGAAGCTGGAAGAGAATTTCTCCAGGCAAGAAGAAGAGAGTTTCTCCAGGCAAGAAGGTGAAAGAGAGAGTTTCTCCGGGCAAGAAGCTGGAAGAGAGTTTCTCAAGCAAGAAACTGAAAGAGAGTTTCTCCAGGCAAGAAGCTGGAAGAGAGTTTCTCCAGGCAAGAAGCTGGAAGACAGTTCCTCCAGACAAGAAACTGGAGAGTTTCTCCAGGCAAGAAGCTGAAAACTCAGTTTCTCAGGCAAGAAGCTGAAAGAGAGTTTCTCCAGGCAAGAAGCTGGAAGAGAGTTTCTCCAGGCAAGGAGCTAAAAGAGAGTTTCTCCAGACAAGAAATTGGAAGAGAGTTTCTCCAAGCAAGAAGCTGGAAAAGAGTTTCTCCAGGCAAGAAACTGGAAGAGACTTCCTCCAGACAAGAAGCTGGAAGAGAGTTTCTCCAGGCAAGAAGCTGAAAGAGAGTTTCTCCAGGCAAGGAGCTAGAAGAGATTTCCTCCAGACAAGAAACTGGAAGAGAGTTCCTCCAGACAAGAAGCTGGAAGAGAGTTTCTCCAGGCAAGAAGCTGGAAGAGTGTTTCTCCAGGCAAGAAGCTGAAAGAGAGTTTCTCCAGGCAAGGAGCTAGAAGAGAGTCCCTCCCGACAAGAAACTGGAAGAGAGTTTCTCCAGGCAAGTACCTGGAAGAGAGTTTCTCCAAGCAAGAAACTGGAAGAGAGTTCCTCCAGACAAGAAGCTGGAAGAGAGTTTCTCCAGGCAAGAAACTGGAAGAGAGTTCCTCCAGACAAGAAACTGGAGGAGAGTTTCTCCAGGCAAGAAGCTGAAAGAGAGTTTATCCAGGCAAGAATCTGGAAGAGAGTTCCTCCAGACAAGAATCTGGAAGAGGAAGAATGTTTCTCCAGACAGGCAAGAAGCTGAAAGAGAGTTCCTCCAGGCAAGAAGCTGGAAGAGAGTTTCTCCAGGCATGAAACTGGAAGAGAGTTCCTCCAGACAGGAAGCTGGAAGAGAGTTTCTCCAGGCAAGAAGCTGAAAGAGAGTTTCTCCAGGCAAGGAGCTAGAAGAGAGTTTCTCCAGGCAAGAAGCTGAAAGAGAGTTTCTCCAGGCAAGAAACTGGAAGAGAGTCCTCCAGACCAGAAGCTGGAAGAGAGTTTCTCCAGGCAAGAAGCTGGAAGAGAGTTTATCCAGGCAAGAAACTGGAAGAGAGTTCCTCCAGACAAGAAGCTGGAAGAGAGTTTCTCCAGGCAAGAAGCTGAAAGAGAGTTTCTCCAGACAAGAAACTGGAAGAGCGTTTCTCCAGGCAAGAAGCTGAAAGAGAGTTTCTCCAGGCAAGAAAATGGAAGAGAGTTTCTCCCGGCAAGAAACTGAAAGAGAGTTTCTCCAGGCAAGAAGCTGGAAGAGAGTTTCTCCTGGCAAGAACCTGGAAGACAATTCCTCCAGACAAGAAGCTGGAAGAGAGTTTCTCCAGGCAAGAACCTGAAAGAGAGTTTCTCCAGGCAAGAAGCTGAAAGAGAGTTTCTCCAGGCAAGGAGCTAGAAGAGAGTTCCTCCAGACAAGAAACTGGAAGAGAGTTTCTCCAGGCAAGAAGCTGAAAGAGAGTTTCTCCAGGCAAGAAACTGGAAGAGAGTTTCTCCAGGCAAGAAACTGGAAGAGAGTTCCTCCAGACAAGAAGCTGGAAGAGAGTTCCTCCAGGCAAGAAACTGGAAGAGAATTTCTCCAGGCAAGAAACTGGAAGAGTGTTCCTCCAGACCAGAAGCTGGAAGAGAGTTTCTCCAGGCAAGAAGCTGAAAGAGAGTTTCTCCAGGCAAGAAACTGAAAGAGAGTTTCTCCAGGCAAGAAGCTGGAAGAGATTTTCTCCTGGCAAGAAGCTGGAAGACAGTTCCTCCAGACAAGAAGCTGGAAGAGAGTTTCTCCAGGCAAGAAGCTGAAAGAGAGTTTCTCCAGGCAAGAAGCTGAAAGAGAGTTTCTCCAGGCAAGGAGTTAGAAGAGAGTTCCTCCAGACAAGAAACTGGAAAAGAGTTTCTCCAGACAAGAAGCTGGAAGAGAGTTTCTCCAAGCAAGAAGCTGGAAGAGAGTTTCTCCAGGCAAGAAACTGGAAGAGAGTTCCTCCAGACAAGAAGCTGGAAGAGAGTTTCTCCAGGCAAGAAGCTGGAAGAGAGTTTCTCCAGGCAAGAAGCTGAAAGAGAGTTTCTCCGGGCAAGAAGCTGGAAGAGAGTTTCTCCAGGCAAGAAACTGAAAGAGAGTTTCTCCAGGCAAGAAGCTGGAAGAGAGTTTCTCCAGGCAAGAAGCTGGAAGACAGTTCCTCCAGACAAGAAACTGGAAGAGAGTTTCTCCAGGCAAGAAGCTGAAAGAGAGTTTCTCCAGGCAAGAAGCTGAAAGAGAGTTTCTCCAGGCAAGAAGCTGGAAGAGAGTTTCTCCAGGCAAGGAGCTAAAGAGAGTCCCTCCAGACAAGAAACTGGAAGAGAGTTTCTCCAAGCAAGAAGCTGGAAGAGAGTTTCAGGCAAGAAACTGGAAGAGACTTCCTCCAGACAAGAAGCTGGAAGAGAGTTTCTCCAGGCAAGAAGCTAAAAGAGAGTTTCTCCAGGCAAGGAGCTAGAAGAGATTTCCTCCAGACAAGAAACTGGAAGAGAGTTCCTCCACACAGAAGCTGGAAGAGAGTTTCTCAGGCAAGAAGCTGAAAGAGAGTTTCTCCAGGCAAGAAACTGGAAGAGCGTTCCTCCAGACAAGAAGCTGGAAGAGAGTTTCTCAGGCAAGAAGCTGAAAGAGAGTTTCTCCAGGCAAGGAGCTAGAAGAGAGTTCCTCCAGAGAAGAAACTGGAAGAGAGTTCCTCCAGACAAGAAGCTGGAAGAGAGTTTCTCCAGGCAAGAAGCTGAAAGAGAGTTTCTCCAGGCAAGGGAGCTAGAAGAGTTCCTTGAGACAAGAAACTGGAAGTGGTTCTGCTCTAGACAAGAAGCTGGAAGAGAGTTTCTCCAGGCAAGAAGCTGGAAGAGAAAATCCTCCAGACAAGAAGCTGGAAGAGTTTCTCCAGGCAAGAAGCTGAAATAGAGTTTCTCCAGGCAGGAGCTAAAGAGAGTTCCTCTTCAAACTGGAAGAGAGTTCCTCCAGACAAGAAGCTGAAAGAGAGTTTCTCCAGGCAAGAAGCTGGAAGAGAGTTTCTCCAGGCAAGAAACTGGAAGAGAGTTCCTCCAGACAAGAAGCTGGAAGAGATTTCCTCCAGACAAGAAGCTGGAAGAGAGTTTTTCTTTAGACAAGAAGCTGAAAGTGAGTTCTTCCAGGCAAGAAGTGTGAGAGTGTTCAAGTAGCAGAACTAGAAATTACTGGTAGCTGATCCAAAACATGCCAGACCATTGAAGTTGGGGTTAGAACCAATCTTTAATAGTTAATTATTTCTTTGTGGCCTGGTAGCAAATGATCTACGTACCGGTGCGCAACGACCGAGTTGCGCACCTAGCTTTAAATAAGTGCCCTAAAAACCTGCTGTAACAAAATTAAATTCATTTTCCGTTTGTTTTTTTTTTAAGTTAATAGATCTTTCACCTTTAACCCTCGGAAAGAGTCGTATTATGCGCCGACGTACTGAGCTGTCGCCAATTCTCCTGCACCTGTCTCGTTCGTGTGCCAGAGCCTGGGTCTTCTCGAAGGGTTTCTTGGTGTGCTCATCATGAGGCGTGTCTTGGGCGTTTTAATCTGACGGAGCCCATCCCTCATCGGGAGGTATCGCATGTAAACTGCAGAAAAAAAAAAGAAAAATATAAAACTGTCGGATGATCAAAGAAAATTTTAAAATGTTTAAAAACAATTATCAAACATAACCGCTCTTTCCTTCTCTAGTTCGGAAGCTACGGATTATCAGATTGTGACAAACACTTCAAGTGCTGCATCACATCAAATATTAAATACCCAATCTGCTTATATCGTCTTCTTTTCTAACGTATTAACAAAGCTTAACGAAAATATTCAATTAGCTGCTTAATTAGCAGCATTAGATTTCAGGTAACAATTAGAATTCCGTAATATGATGTTGTTAACAGATCATAAGCGAAGGATTTAAGTGTAAATCTTTATTGAAATTCTACAAACAACAATGTCATCTCTCCATCCTAACGGAATATGTCAGCCATGTTTCATACATAAAAGCAATTAAAAACAGTAGCAAGACTTCGTTTGTAATTGGGATTAACAGGAATTGTTTCGTTTTGTCTGAGTTTCTGGGATGAGGAGTTATCATTTTTTACATTATTTATATTCGGACTATTGTCTTCATCTTTGTTGTTTTTTCCACAACATTTCGGCCGTTGTGCACTACGGCCTTCCTCGGGTGTATATTGATCTGGGTAACCTACAGGGAATTCCGAACTGAACCATTTATTTATTTAAAATACGAGGGTAAACTGCCCATGCCTAGGGATATCATCTCGTTCTAAATTTTTAGCACTGTTCAGCCGTTGCTCACCCGTTTCCAAGTACACACTGCCCAACCCAGGGATTGAACTCACAATCTATTTGTCACCAAATATCAAAAAACAACGATTTTACCCACTAAGGCCATTGTCTACGGTTTTAAACCTAACCTAAGGATTTTATATATACCTAGGGAAAGAATAACATAGCTCACAAAAGAAGAGAAAGAGACTATTATATTTACGTGTTTAGTTTACAGATCACTTCAAAAAAGAAAAGAGAAACGTTTGTATATGATGTCCACGTGGTTGGTTTGAAATTAAGGAGTCTGTTTACCTAGGGAAAGAATTATCCCTCAAATTCCATGTTGTCTGAGCAGAATGAGTGTGTATTTCCTTTGCTTTTACAGGTTGACCATGATAAGCAAACAGAATGTGATCAAATGAGGTTCAATTTTCAATTTCATTTTTTGCGTTCTACCCACTTTTTTCATCGTTGTTGCAGTGGTTGGAACCCATTGCTGAAGAAGCTTTCATCACGTTGGTCGAAACAGTTTTTAACAGCAGATATGACGTCACCATCATTGTGATACTGGTTCCTAGCCAAGTGTTTTTTTTATGTTGGGGAACAGATGATAGTCAGGTGGGGCTAAATCAGGAGAATGGGAAGGGTGATCTGCCAGTTCAAAGCCACATGGAAATCAAGGACTTGTGTGCTGAAGCATTGTCCTGATGAAACAAGACCCTTTTCAACAGTTTTCCGTGGGCATATGTCCTTTCGTAACTGCCTCGGCAATTTGGCATCTTACTCTTCTTTGATGGTGTGGCCCTTTTGAAGATAGTCAATAAACACAATGCCTTTTGCCATGACTGCGGCCATCACCTTCCCTGCAACCTAGTCCTTCTTTGGAGAAGGTGAGTAGGGTGTTTCTACTACATGGATTGTCTCTTTGTATCTGGCTCAAAGTGATGAATCTAACACTCATCCTGGGTTAGGAAACTTTCAAGAAAGCTATCTGGGTTCGATTTAAATAATATCAGAACTTCCCGTGATGTGATTAGCCCGGAGAGCTTTTGATCAAATGTCAGATTTGACACCCGTCGACCAGAAACTTTTGTCATGTTAAGAATATTCTCAACTAATCTCAGGCAATATGCCAACAGCATTGGCTATTTTGGTTTATCGTCAATCGCCTTTCATCCATCACCATGTCGTGAACACGATGAATGCTTTCCTCGGAGGTGACAATTGCAGGACGTCCAGATCTTGGGTCATAATCAACACTCTTCCTTCACCTTTTAAAATCAGCTGCCCACTTTTGAACAGAATGAATGTCCTTGGGAGCTAAACCCTTTTTTTCTGCAAATATTTTGATAACACCACGGTGCCAAATTTTGTCCATTTTCATCTGAAGTCTTTGAATAATCAGATGTTAGTTTACCTGGAAATAAATACCGTAATTCCCCATGTATAATACGCATTTTTTCTAAAAATAAATAGCAAAATCAGGGGTGCGTATTATGCACAGCTACAAAAATCTTTTAAAAATTGCCGTAAAATAAAATAATAATTATCATAAAACTAAATTAGAATAATATTATTCTATGTTTAAAACCATAATTTATAGGATTTGATTACGAAACAAGGGATGCGTATTATGCGTGGGTAGAAGCATTTTCCCAGATTTTCAGCACAATTTTAGGTGTGCGTATTATGGATGAATGCGTATTACACATGAGGAAGTACGGTAATGAAGTTATTAACAAGAAGAGTTAAAATCTTCCCATTCTTAGCTCTAGCGTCACGCTTTCATAATCAACCTATGAACTTTGGAGCCACCCTCGTAACAGGAGAGATACAATGAAGTTATTAATAAAAACAGGGTTGAAATTAATGCATGCAAGATTTCATCGCTCTAGTAGCACAAGTCAAGTGCAGTCTATTGCAAGTACAATTGACCTTTTATTTACACTTTTCATTAAAGCCTTCCATTACATCTCCTTCTCTGTGACCTTACTCACTAAGATTATTGCTTATTTCACTTCCTTTTTGCATTTTGCTATTATTCTCAAATTTTGAGGATCTAGAAATAACTCAGCAAAATAAACAGGTATATCAGCTTCTCAACTGAAACAATCTATTTTAACTTTTGCCAGTTGAATGCATCTTTTATTGCTGATTTAAGTAACTGTACCTTTGTCGACTATTGGATCTTACATAGTTATTTAGAGTTCTCGTATTACTTAAAATCAGAAAGGATACCTGATGCGACCCGGGATAAATATCACGCTTGATAGTGAATGTCGCAATTCGATAAAATTTTTCATTTTTCATTCCGGAGAAAAATATCAACTAGGCCAAAAAAAAAAAAAAAAAAGAAAACAACAACATTGTAATCAAACAATATCTGCCAAAAGTGATTGATTTTGTTGAGAGTTTAATGTTCATTGACATCCTGTTCAGTTCATTATTCACATGGAGACCCTCAAGTTAGGCTTGAGGCATATCGATATTTGATTGATAGACAAGAAATTGATTTGGTGTGTAAACATTGAAATACAAAAGAAGTCACCTTTTGAGATTACTATGGGCGATAGGGTCTTTGAAACAAGAATAACCGCAACAGATAATTCAAAAGCTTATTGAAATCCGAATAAATTACATTCCTTACTGGCTGATGGCCACAAACAAACATGTTGAAACACCGGTTTTGGTAAGACCACCGAACGCTCTCAAGTGGATAAAGACGTTCGTTAGATCCAGTGACTAGACCCAAAGAGTTGCGAGTTCAATACCAGGCCACAGCAGTGGTAAGCCAAAAAGCTTGGAGAGTTGAGTTAAAAGGAAATAACTGGGCCATCCGGAAGAGGCGCGGCACGTGGAACTAGAACAATCTACCACGGTGGACAAAATAAAGGGTTCGTTCGAAATTACAATCACTGGAAAAAAAACCGGAGCGTACAACTGCCAAAACGTTGTGAATATAGCAATGAAGATGAGGATAACAGTCCGAATAATGTAAATAATATAAGTAATCATTATACCTCATCTCAGAGATATAGACAGATATATAGAGAGATACAGACATAAAGGCCGGAGCGTACAACGGCCGAAACATTGTGAATATGGCAATGAAGATGATGATAACAATCCGAATAATGTAAATAATGTAAGTAATCATAAAACCTCATCTCAGAGATATAGACAGATATATAGAGAGACATAGACATAAAGGCCGGAGCGTACAACGGCCGAAACGTTGTGAATATGGCAATGAAGATGAGGATAACAGTCCGAATAATGTAAATAATGCAAGTAATCATAATACCTCGTCTCAGAGATATAGACAGATATATAGAGAGACATAGACATAAAGGCCGGAGTGTACATTGGCCGAAACGTTGTGAATATGGCAATGAAGATGAGGACAACAGTCCGAATAATGTAAATAATGCAAGTAATCATTTCTTCGTTCTATATAAAGACATTTCTGAACGACTGACTTTGATAACAATCACCGGCCTGATAATATTATCTGTGATTATAAGAAACGGCTTCCTCTGTATTTGAAAAAGAAAGTGTGAAGCACACGGTACGTATGGCTGGCCACTCGTATTCGAGGATACCCGTGTACTAGGGAGGTTAGCCAATCCCTAATACAGACGCTTGCTCAGGCGCATTTGTGTTTATTAAACACCCACAGAGCCCACCTGTGGTTTATACTGCAACTATACTGAGTAGACCTTAGTTACAGTTTCTGGGAAAGAGCGTGTCATCTAGCATGATCAACAATTTGAACAAGGCCAGCATTATCAAGTCCTCGGCCACGATGACTTGTGACTTCGTGCTAGTACAGCTATTGTCGGCCCCAAGGGATCCGTCTACCCAGATTCGTTCACAAAGCTTGGGTCAACCTGTGATATGGTTATCAGGCACTTTTCAAAGGTGCCGCACGCTGGGATCGTCCCTCCTGTTCGATAACATCATGAGGTCTCCTTCCTGATAAATCGACCATGGTGAGATAGACCCACGTAGACATACACATACACTCATATGCGTCTGTATGAAACTATGGACAACCGCGTAAAAAGGGAAGAGACGGTTTTATTTCAATCTCAAGTATTTTCTGGTTGATATCCAGTTCGGTCTTCTAAGCGGCACCCACTTTAACCAAAGGATAATGGGAACTAAAGTGGTGAAAAAAGGAATATCCAGCTGCTGGTCTCTATTAAACAGACAAGCTTGTGATCGAGGAAAGAGTTCAGGTGCACCCTTTGGTGGGGGACGGATTTGTTCTTCATGTGGTTCCTGTGTCATCAATTCGTATTGCCATCTATCACGTCAGGGTGAGTAGATGCACGAGGAGTTGTTGGGAGAAAGAGTTGAGCTGTTAGGCTAACATAGCAGAAGTTGTTCCAAGTATCCACCCGGACGAGCCCTGAATAAAACATCTATTTTATAAATAAATTTCCTGACCTCGTTACTCTATTTTCCTATATAAAAAGAACGTGACAACATAACAGAAAAGTAAATGGTATGTTTTGCTGACATTAGGAAACAGATATTAAACTCAGATCTCAAACTAAATGCAGCGAATAGGACTGCAAAGTCGGACAGTGTTTTAAAATGTAAAAGCTTTTATTTCAGCAAAATATACATGAAAATAAAATTGAAAATTTCAGGTGAGATTTTTATTCAATTTTTGAAAAAAAAGTTGATACCAATGGAAATTTGTAAAAAAATATATAAATATAAATATATGTGAACCCCGCCCAACCCTATGCCCTTTACCATGACTTAAGATAAGAAAGAAGACGTTATTAATCAAAGAGTTATTCGGAAGGGACTTTTCTTGATAAGCCTTGATTTTGAGCCTGTTTATAGCGACGCTGTGTCTGGCTTAGGGCAACAAAAATCGAATGTTCTGTAAAAGAAGGATTGACATGGGAAACTCATCTTTTGGATTATTTTCAATCAATAAGAAGAAAGCAATTTTAAACTGGCGATAAGTCTGAAAGGTAATTTCGTGACATTGCTGACTTAAATTTAAATACGATCGTCGGCCCGTGATAATCACTATTCATGTACGCCTCTTCATTGAATGGCCATGGCAGTTAGTGCAGAGAAATCAGATTTGCAAAACAAGTTGTTGAGAACAGAAGTAGAATTACCAAAGGTTTTCCGATTTTTGTTGGGTACTGTTAAGTGTGTAACAATACGATTTCTCACACATCTCTAGAAGATGAGTAGATAAATTTCTTTTCTTTTAAGTCCACGTAGTTATCTGAGTTTCGTAGGAATTTTGTCTCCAGTCCATCTTTGAGTAAACTTGTGTCAGTGTTCTGTTTGAATTGGGAAACAAAAATATTTTCATTGATTTTTGGATAGTGATAAAAGTAGTCTTTTGAAGAAGTTGACCACACAAAAAGCCGACTGAGTGTTCTCATACCTACTGGAATACAAGTGGATGAGGGGGTGGGAACCCAGTTATTATCCATATAAACAAAGAAGACAAGTAGAAAGGGGTCTAGCCATGAGAGAAGTAGGTAGGTGACCAGTGAGTTAGTGGTGGTCAGGAGCAAGGAATCAACAGTGAGCGAAGTGACAGTCAGTGAATGTAAGGATCCTTTTCCGTGGCCGGAAGTTGGTAAGATAGCAGTCTACTTCTCGAAGCTGGAAGAAGGATCCCACGGTTAAGTGAGAAATTGTATTGTTGGTAACTCCCAACCAGTGTCTTTAAAAACAATTGTCGTTATCATTTTCTGTTGAATGCGATCACGGCCAAGAAGACAAACCTATGAACATAGCAAGTTGGGTGTATATGCAGATACAGCTGATGTCATCACGGAGAGAACAACGGACGAGCGGAGAGCGTCGTTACAAATTTCACCACAAATTCGTCACAAGTGTAAATGAAGTTAACTTCCATTCACAAATAAGACGGTAGTTCAATCCCCTGGTGGTGATGACCCGGATGTACCATAATGGCGTAGTAAATAAAAACACAGTTGGATTACAATCTGACTTCATCTATCATTCTTGACACACGCATAACGTAACATGGTGGCAGCTGGCTGTTGGACCTTTGGAGAAAGGGGTCCAGCCATGAGAGAAGTGGGTAGGTGACCAGTGAGTTAGTAGTGGTCAGGAGCAAGGGAACTTGGAACATTATTTATGCCAGAAACTCTCAAGTAAGAAATGTTCCATCTGTTATCGTCGAACGTTTGTCTCCGCCTGAGGGATAATTATTCCTCTAGGTAAACAAACTCCTTAATTTCAAACCAACCACGTGGACACATGTTTTCTTTCCTTTTTTGAAGCGGTCTGTACACATGTAAATACAGGGTGTCCATAAAGTTCGTGTGCACTTTAAAAAATTTATAACTTTATTTGTATTTGCGATAGAAATAATTTGTAAAAAGGATTAGAAAGAAGTAAATCTATATTTTTTAAGGTTTTATTGAAATTTTATTTAAGTTTCCACATGTCCTCCATCATTAGCAATAAAAAGGGTAATACGATTTTGCAGTTCACGGAAAACATTTGCCAACTGATTTACAGTAATGCCTGAAATCACATTAGTTATTTTAATTATACTTAAAACGAGGTCCGACCTCACTTAAAGGCAGAATTGAAGAGGTTAACCAAATTGATCGTCATTGAACCCGTAGACAAACGTACACTATAGATTATTCAACTGGTCGTAAATAAAAAGAAAGATGGTTCCCTGAGAATATGTCTGAAACCCTATGTGCTCAATAAAGCTCTCATCCGGGAACGCTACACAATGCCTATCTTAGAGGATGTACTCTATGACGTGAAAGATGCCAGAATTTTTTTACCAAGGCAGACCTATCCTCAGGGTATTGGCATATAAAGTTTGATGACGAGCCCAGTGACCTAACCACATTCCAGACTTGTTTTGGACTTTTCCGTTGGTTGAGATTACCATTTGGATTCAACTATGTCTCTGTAATCTTTCAGAAGAAAAAAATTTAGCAAATTCTGGATTTAGATGACTCGTTGATGACTTGGTGGTATATTTGTATTAATCGGGAAGAGCATCATAAGCCGATATGAGCACTGCTTGAAAGATGCCTGACAAGGGGTGTCAAACTCAACCCTGAAAAATTTGAGATGGGACAGCATGCCATTACCTTCGTGGGACACAGGATCACAAGTAAAAGCGTTAGGTTAGTCCCACAGAAGGTTAGGGCAATCCGGAATTGCGCAGATTCCTGGGGTTGGTAGTGTGGACAAATTTATTCCAAACTTAACCTCCATCATCAAGCCTCTTCAAGGCCCTCACGAAAAAAGCAAAGCTACATGGATGTGGTCCGAATCACAAGCTACATTTGACTCAGTGATTAAATTGACTAATGGCGCATCAACACTTGCTTATTATAATCCACATAAAAATTTGACACTGGAAAATGATGCCAGCGAATATGGCCCGGGAGCAGCCATGAAGCAAAAAGAGAGGCCTGTTGCATATGCAAGCCGTTCAATGTCGGACACAGAACGACGTTATGCATGAATAGAGAAAGAAATGCTGACAATGGTCTATGGACTGGAGAAATTTCACCACTACACACATGGAAGACATAAACCTCTAGTGTCAATCTGTGCAAAGCCACTATCAAAAGCAAAGCTACATGGATGTGGTCCGAATCAAGGATCCAAGGGTACAGCAGTATAACTGCTCATTGCAGTACAGACCAGGTAAAGAGATTCTACTAGCGGATGCTCTTTCTCGTGCATCAACAGGCAAACTAGTAAAAGAAGAACTGTTGATGGTGAACAATCTGACGCTGCATCCAATTCAAGACCATACAGCCGATACACGTCTGAGGAGTCAAAAATTATGGCGCTAGCCATAATTATTGCCAAAGGGTGGCGCATTGAGAGGACATACCTACCTGGCAATATCAAAACATTTTTTTACTATCGAGATGAATTGACAGTACAGGATGGGTTAAGCATGCGTGGACAAAGGATCGTAATCCCAAGTGTCATGCGCCAAGAAATGAAGACGAAAGCTCATGCTGACCATTTGGGCATCAATACGTGTCTGCGAAGGGCAAGAGACCTTATATTTTTGGCCGGGTATGTCAGCTGAGATTAGATTATTATATCCGTGATATAATAACACGATATTTCATAGACGGAACAGAATGGCTGAAAGGAAAAAGAATGCCAAACATGCTTTGTTCTCAGAAAGACTTTAATAATACAAAGACACACAGAACTATATATACATAATAAACGTGTATCATATATATCTACAGAGCAAAGCAGAGTGTAAGGAGAAACAAAAAGGAAGAGTCTTACATATAATATGGAGATACTCCTTTACCCGGAGAGGCCATTTTTAAGATTCCAGATTCACACGGACCGGATTCATCTATGTCCCAGGCGAGGAGATATCCCACGAAAGTCTTGGGTTTTCCCAAATAGAGGACTGCGAACTGAAGTTTCATTCTATATATGGAAGAGATATATTCCAAAAGGGAAACGGCAACATGGATTTGTAAGTTCCTGGTGGGGGGAGGCAAATTTAGCCTCTGCCAGGGTTATGGGGAGCACTAGCTAAGAAAAGCAACCTTACCGATTGGTTACTGTAAACGAACAGTCATTTGACTGCCGCTTTTTAATCATTGTATGGAGTTCCGTCATTAAGCGGCCGTCATGTGAAGCACGTGACTTATCTCCACCGAAGGGAGATAAGCAACTTCTGCATACTTACAATGCATTATTTAACTAGATTTTGTAAAAAATATTACTTAATTTTTGCTTAAAATATAAAGAAAATACATTTTTCTCAAGCAGGGTGTATGTTCTCCATTGTCAACAAGTTCAAAGGTCAAATATTTATTCTCTCATAACACTGCACTAATACTTAAAAAAAAAAAATTACGCCATAAATCAAATTAAATACGGAAGACCATCTATTAGAAAACTTTGTGGAAATATTTTTTAGGTCAGTTCGAAGCCGTTAACCAAGTGACTTCTTTATCTGTACTGTATTTCTATCATTATTATAATAACAAAAACTTTATTTTTTATTAAACCGGCAAAAATACTATCAACACGACTAGACCAATCAAAACTTTTAACATTCTGGTGGCCCTGAAAAGAGTCGTTATTTTTTTAATGTCATGGGACATAATTCAGAATTTTATTCTGATTTTCATATTTGAACTTCCGTAGAATAAAAAGACAGACAATTGTAAAATGAAAAGAATAAATAGCTTGATTTTATTTTAAAAAAATGTTAAAACTCGAAAATGTCATTAAACATCACATTCTTCGATACCAACTTGAAATTTTTTAGTCTCAATTTGAAATTGTTTAGTACCAACTTGAAATTTTTTAGTCTCAATTTGAAATTTAGTACCAACTTGAAATTTTTTAGTCTCAATTTGAAATTGTTTAGTACCAACTTGAAATTGTTTAATCTCAATTTGAAATTAGTTAACCCAACTTGAAATTGTTTAGTATCAATTTAAAATTGTTTAGTACCAACTTGGACTTGAAATGCTATAGTATCGATTAGTCACGAGTTAAATAAAGTTGAAAACTGATCTGAAATAATACTTCCACGAAAGTTAAAATAACAATATGAAATGTTCATTTATTAATGAATAAATGCTGAAAATCTCAAGGAAATCCAGTAATTCTCTGATTTTTAGGATTTTTTTAAAAACAGGAGTATTGGGTTTCTTTCACGATTTTGTCGAAAATGCGTATGATTCGAGATATACAAAGTTAAACAGACGACTTTAAGAGGCCTATTTTTGCTAAACATTTTAATCCTTTTTATAACGTCATTCATAGTAGTTCGCAACTCATGATCTATATTGTCTCATGATCTATATTGTCTCATGATCTATATTGTCTCATGGTCTATATTGTTTTCGTCAGGTTAAAAAAATAACAAAAAAAAAAACGAAACAAAGAACAGATATTATTTCATTCTTTGTTTTGTTTTTTTTGCATGTGTCAGAAAACCGTTTATTTTGCAAGTCATAGAGGAGTCTCACTGGACACCTCGACATAGTGTAATGGTTAGCAAGCTTGTCTCGCTAAATTAAGATTTAGTTGTGAGTTCGATTCCCTCAGGATGCGCCATTTTTTCAGCCTAATACCATATCGATGCTTAGAAAATCATTTTGGGCACTTCGACATAGTGTAATAGTTAACAAGCTTGTCTCGCTAGATCAATTACGACAGAATAGTGAGTTCGATCCTCACTGGGTGTTCCATACTTTCGGCCTTGTGCCACATCTAAGAAACGCTTAGAAAATCGGTTTCAGACACTTCGACGAGGTGTAATCAGGGCCGGCGCTAGGGTCTCGAAAAACAAACAAACTTTGATACGCTCCCCCTCTCTACTCCATGTCGATTTCAAAGTTTCTCAATCTGGGGGTCCACAAATCCTCGAAGGAAAATTAGAGAGGGTAGCGCTTTTTTAAATTACCAAAAACCAGGGAATTATCCAGTTTAAATAAAAGTTTCAGTTCATATTCATTAATTACTTACTTTTGTAATGAATAGGTTTTTATTTTTTAAAAATCAGAGACAATGTTATTCTCTTTTAATAACCACCAATATTTTCATGAATAAATTTTACTCGAAAAAAAGTCGGAAATTTTTAGATTTCCATAAAGATTAATCGCCGACGCATCTTCGCTAATTTTTTTTTTACAAAGATTCCAACACAACACAAATGGGATTGTCTTAAAAATTTGTTTTCAAAACAGTATTTCAGTTTTCGAGAAAATTTTTCATGTGTTGAAATCTTTAAGCATTTTTATTTTTTTATTAGTTTAATCATCATTTTCTAGGGTTTATCTTTCTAGAAATGTAAAAAAATAGGGAATAGAAATAGATTTTTGAAGAAAAACGTATTACCAGCAATAAAAATTTTGTCGGCATTAAATAACCCATTGAGGTTGATATGCCGTAAAACAAAATAAACCAAACCAATCTAAACCAAAGAATACATATTCTATTGATACGAATCTATCCTATAAATGTTGTCAGCATTAAATAACCCATTGAGGTTGATATACCGTAAAACAAAATAAACAAAACCAATCTAAAACAAAGAATAAAACCAATCTATCCTAAAAATGTTGTCGATATTCTATTAAACAAACCAATCTA